GGGGAACAAATTTTTCTCCAGTGGGTTTCACGGTCTTTCCCAACAAAACAAAGAATTTTATTATCGGCATCCTATAACTTCCTCGGCAACATCCTCCTCTCGGCATCTTCTTCTGAATCAGCATTGTGAACACTTTTCAAACAAAAATCTCTATCATCTCCATCTGGATCTGCTACTCCAAGTACTTCTTCTTCTTCTAGCTCTTTGTACCATACCAGTTATTTTTCCAGATACTTGCTCATTTTTGAAAGATATAAGTAATAATTCACATAAAAAAATAAAATACTATAAAAATAAACAAGTAACTCACCAATAAATATTAAACTCACAATGAAATTCGGAGGTCGCGTGAGATACGCCAAAGAACCAGAACCAAATTTAACCTCAACAATGGCTCTGAACAAAAATGCACACATACGCACCTCACCAAAGTCTTAAGTAAACTGTCCGGAAAGCTTACCTAGAAGCTGCATGCATACCATGATACTATAACAAAACAAGATAAGTCAACGCGCATGTTCTGTGACGTAAGCCTGAGACAAGTTGTCAAAATGCCAAATTGACAAAATTAATGACAGCAAGTTAAACTTTAAAATTAAATTAAAATTTTTCATTTGAAGCAATTCTAGTTATATAAATAAAAAGAATTAATATTAATAACAGCAGAGAATTAATATATCAATATTATAACAGCAGAGTAAATGTTTCTATAGATAATAATATATACTAATGCCCATTTTATTAGAACTTGAAGTAATACTTTATTTTTAATAGGTCTTTAAAAAAAGTTACTTTGGATGTATGTAGTGAACTGGAACATATTTTTTGTAGTTATAATAGCGACACATTAAAAATAACAAAAAATTGTTTAAAAAACTTAATAGAAGCTGCAAAATATGTAAATGTTAGCGAAGATGTAAAATTACTTTTTTTATATGTAAAATGTATTAAAAATACAAATTCTAAATTTAAATATTAAAGATAATTACAATACTACAAAAGAAAAATCACAAAGATTGTAAAATAAATGTCTAAATTTGACCCGCTTTTCCTTTATGGTCAAATTCTTTACATTTTGCCGGCCTTTTATATTTAATTTATGTTTTGTAGCAATATTTATTTTGTTTGTAATACACACAATCAAATCGTAGATTCATACATTTCTTTAATTAATTTCACAAATTACTTATTAATTTTTAAAACACGTTTTTACAGAAAGTAACTACAGTAAATTCAATTTCAAGTTACGGACAGAATAAACACAAGTCACCGCGTGATATTCGAGTTTACACGTGACGAACGCCTTGCTATTGGCCAAATTGTCGAACGATCGTAAGTCACGCACTTAGCCCTAACAGGTGCGCACTTCGTTTTTCCACTCCGTCCTCTGTCGATTGCGAAATGGCTCAGTAATTTTTGTGCAAAGCTGTTTGTTGGTTTGTTAATCGTTAGCTCGTGTGTGGATAGTGCAAAGTATTTTTAAGAACATTTAATTATAGTCGATAAAAACTTTTTCCCCACTTTGAAATAATTCCTGTAGGTATAATAAAGCATTTATAATAGCCATAAGATACGATATAATGTCGACCTGCACTGATATATTTATTGGATAAAAATTATTGGATATGTAATTTAGTATGTTAAAAATTATGAAAAACAAGAGGTGCCCGATATAATTTTGTCCTGACTATAATAAATTAATAATTCAAACTCTTTGCGACACGAGATTTTATAAATTTTCTACAATGGACCCTTGGGGCATAGAAACCTTCAATTGCACATGTAAAAAGTAATATGACCTCACTTTTCAAGAAACAACTGGTAACCATTCGCGTTTGGCTGATAACTATACCGTGGGAATTTTACCAATTAAAGATAACACTTAAAAGTGGCTTCCCACGATCGGCGATTCTACAGATCATCGCGGATAGCCGATCAGCACGGACGACTCTTCCTACGGTCCGTGACAGTCTGTGTAGGTCTGTGACAGTAATTATATCATAAAAAGGCCACTCAGGCTTGTAAACATCATTGCCTTCTGTATGTCGACATTACATTATCTCTCTTCTTTTTTAATTCTTTAATCGAAATAGTACTATTCTTCAATTGATTTTTTATTCGGTTCCATATATCGTATGCATTGTTCCGGTTCTTATGCTCTGGCGCCGTGGAATTCCATAAACTTGGTTCATTTTGATACAAATTTAAAAAATCAAAAATAACTTTGTTTGTTCATTCGATTTTTTAGCAAAAAAACTGCAAAACAACTTTGACAACACTACAAACAACTACTCGTGTCAGTGATTGAAAAACTTCTAACTTGCATTTGTCGTCTGTTAAAACACAGACGCGCTAAGATCGCGTCGCACGAGCATGTACCGCACCTTTGATGTTACCGACTCTAGATGGATAGGACGGACCAGCACAGATGCTACCACGGACGAGACCTTTCCCAAGGTGCGTGGTGCGGGCTGGTCCGCTTACGTCCGCAATATCGGCGACCGTGGGAAGCCGCTATTTTTAGAGACAGAGGGAATAAGTAATACAAACCACTTGCGTAGGTGTAACTTAATAAAAATAGATTAATAAGTGATTCATTTTGTGGACTACTGTGCAACATGTAGCAAAAATTTGGTAGTTCAAATTTCAATCCGATGTGCCGAAAAGAGTTAAAAAATACCTTTTTTATATATTTAAAAAAATTCAACCCGGGCAGACATTGTTTTAGATTTTTTTGGATCAATCTAAACAAAAAGTTATTTTGTAATTTTTCTTAAGTTGATCGTGTTCGAGTTATAAATAATTTAAAAGTGGAAGACAAGGAAGAATTGATAGACGAAAAAGAATTGACAAGAATTGACTTGAATAAGAGTAAATTTCGAAAATGCCCATTTTGTTATTTTAGTTGAGAAAAGTATAATAAGTCCATTTATTTAAAATGTCTGCTACGGAGTCGCCAAATGAAAATGAGCAACTGTTAACGCTAAGTCCTCATAGGAAAAGAGCAAAGAAAAATCACATAGATATAAGAACCAAAGAAATAATGGTTAATATATACAAATGTGAATTACAAGATAATCCTTCTTTAGCGTTAACGAACATTCAACAAAGGGTTGCAGATAAAGTTGGAGTTTGTTCGAAAACTGTTTTCAATGTCATTAAAGAATATAAAAGTACCCACACATTATCTGCACCGAAAACAAACCAAAATCGTTTAAAATCAATAGATGCTGTAGATGATTTTGATAAGTCATCTATAAGAAGAATGGTTCATCAGTATTTTTTCCGCAATGAAATTTCTACAATTGACAAAGTCCTAAGAGATGCAAATAATGATAATGACTTGCTACTCGACAAAAATGAAATTGTGCTATGGCGGAGAAATTATTTGCAAAAGATAATAAAATATAGAGCTGAAAATAGAACCATGTATTATTTAGACGAAACATGGATAAATGCTGGACATACAAAACCAAAAGTTTGGGTGGATTTGGGTTTGGGTTTGGGTTTTTGATGGGCTGTCGACCAGCTTAAGAAATCCCTCAGGTAATTCAAATAAACTTTTAATTTTTTATTTATTATCTGTAATATCACTTTTAGGAAAAGGTAAAAGATCTATAATCTGTCACATCGGAAGTGAGAATGGTTTTGTTCCGGATTCACTGTGCTTTTGAGTCAAGTAAGAGTGGAGACCACCATGAGGAGATGGATAGGAAGTCATTTGAAAATTGGCTCCAAAAGATTTTACCAACACTGGAAAAAATGCTGTAATTGTAATGGACAATTCCCCTTACCATTCCAGAAAATTGGAAAAAATTCCCATTATGGCTACAAAAAAGGCAGATATTCAAAATCGGCTTCGCTCAAAAGACATTCCCTTTGAAGGAACGATGTTAAAGGTGCAATTTTTAGAAATCGTTAAACAACATAAAGGCGAATATAATAAGTACATAGTAGATGAACTAGTAAGAAGCACAAATAGAATAGTTTTAAGGTTGCCACCGTACCACTGCGAGCTCAATCCAATCGAGCTTGTATGGACGGAAGTCAAGAATTATGTTGCAGCGCATAACGCAACATTTAAATTTGCTGATATTAATGTATTCCATGAAGATATGTCTGCTGTAACCATGGAAAATGGAAAAACTGCCTTAAACATGTAAAAGAGAGAAGAAGTGGAGCCAAAAATGTGGGAGTTGGACAATTTAATTGAGGCACAAATTGAGCCTATCATTATCAACTTTAATGATGACAGCAGTACATCAGCTTCTGAAAGTTAAGATAAAATACGGTAATTTTATAAACTTTTTTATATACTTTATTTTGTTGTTAATAACTCTCGATCTTGTAAATCATTTTTATATTTAAAAAAATTGGTGTACTATAATCTATACCTGTCAGACGTCTACAAACTATATAAGATTTTGTATTGCAGCTTTAATTCACTAGTCCGGCCCTGAACAAACGCGTGTTTCAAGCGTGCATTTGTTTACACCGGCCGTAGCTTGAAGTTGAATTTACTGTAGAGTTATGACTTATTAGTGCAAGATATGGCATCGAGGTATACTTACCGTTAACAGTTTAACTTTTGAAGTTGTTCATTACAGTAATGGAACAAGGTTGCCATATGTTGCATCGGCAAAATATGATACAAACAAGTCCCCTGGCTTTGTCTCACCATGACGACATGCGCAAAGTCGAACAAAATTAGAACGGCAAGTGAGCATATCTTGTTTGTTATAGTATCATGCATGCATACTATGTATAAAAAGGCATGCGCGGTTTTCCGGAAAGTGGTATACACTGGTATCCCACGCGAGTACTGCAGAGTTAATTCTGACAAGCAATTTAAAAAAAATTCAAATTTATAAAGTCCACTTCTTATACAACCAACATCTTAATTTATTTCTGAATGAAGGATTATGAAATATCAGTATAAATGATAAGAATAACAACATGCATTATGAAAATCCAAGGCAAATATTAAACATTGTTCTTACCCACAAGTAGATGAGTTAGTAAAAACGCGCTAAAATGGTTAACCTGCATTGTTTCATTCAACCCGTCTTCTGTTGGAATTTCTAAACATTGTGGAATCCCAGCGTTATTAATTAATATGTCTAATTTTGACTCCGACTTTTGTAACCTGCTTGCTAGTAGACGTACTGATTTAAAGGAGCTCATATTAACATGTTCCAGTACTATGTTTGGGTTATTGGTTCCCCATATAATTTGTTGTCTCAGCTTTTCATCTATTGTTCTGCTGGCTATAATAACTTTGCAGCCCCTGGAAGCCAGTTGTAAAACTATGTCATATCCTATGCCTACAAATAAAACGTACGATATGTAAGTTACTTTATCGGTAAAAGAAAATAGATACAAAGTATTTAAGTATTTTTGACGCATTGGAGGTTAATGATAGTGGATTGGAGCAAAGTGAATATAGTTAATGGAAAATAATTATAATTTCATGTAGCAAAAATTTCTACCAAAAGTATAAAAAAAATTTTAATAAAGGTCTAATTTAGGTCCTATCTCACTTCGGAAAGAATTATTCTCCTACAAAAATCAAGGGCAAGTCACCGAAACAACTATTCCGCTGCTCTCCAAAACGAAATATTTAAATAATATAACGTGTTCTCTGGGACACAATTTCTAGGTATGATCGTCCAAGTTTAACTCATGGTGGCACCCCAATTCTTTTTATAAATAATGATTTCTCTCCTATAACAAAATATGAGTTTCTGTTGAATGAATCATTTTTTGAGTTTTCATGGTTTATAACAAGAATTTTAACCTATTAAATTTTTTAAACGACCTGTCCAATATCAGCAGAAAAATTCTATGCGGTGACTTGAATACTAATTACGTTGTTGCTTGTACTACCCAATTATCCTTGGTCAATATATTCGAATCGGATAGCTTCACAATGCACGGCAATTCTCCTACTTACTAAGAATTACTAAAACAACATCTACTACAATTGATTATATTGTCTCAGATTTCTCACCCCTTGGTGTACGCTCTACAATTATTAATGCAGGACTATCTGATCATGAAGCAGTAGGGTAAACTGTGCAAATACCGGTCAGTGGGTAATGGCGGTCATCCCGATTGTGCGAAATCTATTCAATCTGGCAACCTCCTATAACTGCCAACGTGTCGCTACACTACTCTGTATTCAGATTGCTGACGAGCGTTGAGTTGGCGCAAACCATTGTCATAGAAATATTATTAACCTGTTTTCAGTGTTTTCCATCTTATTTTTATGCTGAGTAATATAAGGTCTTAATTCATTTTTATTCCCTTGTAGATCTTAAAATTGGTTACAATTGATTATAATGATGTTAGCTGCCTATTCCTTTTTTAAAGATCAATATTTTAATACATGTTTACGAGTAAAAAATTCTAAGAAAAAAAATGCCAACAGGAGGCAATGCCGGTCAATTAACCGGTATTACCCCCATGCTATAATTTATACCCTATACTATCAATCCTTAGGGATTAATTCATCCATTTTTCGACATTGCAAGAAAAAAAAAATAAAAATCTTCAAGGTGTCTCATTAGGTAGAAAATCAGTATTTTCTGCCGAACAAGAAGCTAAAATAGCCACACAAAAAAATATTTAGCTTAATTTTTTATGGCGTAACAGCAATAGAACTGAGAAAATTAGCATTTGGGTTTACAAGATAATTTTTCTTGTAATAAAACACCTTTTTCTTGTAATTGGCATTACAAGAAAAAGGTGTTTGATTCTAGTTCTTTGGAATCGGATATTGATAGACCATGTGATAACAGTGACGATGCATACGAAGATAGATGCCTGGTTTACAGCGAGTTTGGCAAAAAAATGAATTGTGGTATATATTTATCGTTTGCTCATGATGGGCTTATTCAGAGTGCAGTGGATGGGATTCTGCAGAGAGTTATACCTGCGATGACTGTCAACTATTTTTACATTAAAACACATATTTTTGTTATTTTTTGTTTGTTTTGTAATAAAAAATATCTTTTCACATTTCTTTCTGATTTACTTGAATTATGACCCATTAAGCCACATTCGTTAATCGTTTTATAACAAAAAAATGTTAAATAGATATTGATTTTTATTTTAATAATAACACAAACCAATTGACTGGCATTACCCACACTCATGACCGGTATTGTCCATGTATGGTGACAATACCGGTCAAAGATACTTTTTTATGTTTTGTCTCTGTCAAAGACAAAAATTTTATATTTTTGAAATTAAATGTATCTTGCAATAAGTTACAACCCCAAATTACGGATTGACGGCTTAAATTTGATTCACAGAGTTTTACTTTTTTTATATTAAATTTTCTTCTTAGATGACCTCGATTTGCACACTTTACCCTATATACCAAGTTTAATACTTTTAATAAACAAAAAAATTGCTTGACTTCTGGATGGCACTTTCCTTCTGTGGACGTGGACTATAATTTTAGTGATTTTTAAATAGGCTTGTCCCAATTTTCGAGCTGGGAAATTGTACGTTCCCTTACAAAAAAGGAATCCTTCATCATCGGCCTAGTGTCTTATAAATTACAATTTTAGTTACTTAAATTATGTAATTTAAGGGTCATCTGACCTCATTATGTAGCTAGTTCCAAGTACTATGTAAACGTTTTTCACTGAGAATGATCTGATAGGATCGAAAACGTTCTGAAAATTTAAAAATTCACTTTCGATACCTTTTAAAAATTTTAATAATAAAATTTTATACCATTTTACAAAAAAAAGTTTTTACTTCATTGTATTACACTAAGGAAAAGTATTAAGAAAGATATAAGAAAATACAATTAAAGACTGAGGTAGAAAATGCAATGGAAAACAGCAAAAACTACAAAAAAACAAGAAAAGCGTTAATCATTGGGAAGAAGCAAATCTCTAATAAACGAAAACAACAGAATTATAGACAGAAATGAAATAATATAACTCGTGACTAAATTTTACAACGAACTATACAAAGCCCTTGAAAAAGTTCTTCCGGAAGAAGTAGAATCAAAAATTACAAAAATTAAAAGCGGTAAAATAGATGGTATAACAGTGGAATTTCTTAATTACGCTGGCAAGGAAACCTGAAAAATCTTAGCAGGTATATTTACGAACTTTGAAAATGAAAGGCAAAATATCGAGCACAATTTTAACAATTAAATCTTGCCCAAGTACTTTCGCTTAAGACAGCATCTTCAGGGGCATTTCGTCAAGTTAGGGCTATCCAGCAAGCGTAGAATGTGATAAACATGAATTTTAACATAAAATTGTACAAAACACTACACTAAAACAAGGACAAACAGTTTAAAATTAATTAAAATGGTTCTACGATCTACATTCTTTGTCAGTAACAGGAGAGAGACAGTATTCTCTGATTTAATTGTTAAAATTGTGCTCGATATTTTGCCTTTCATTTTCAAAGTTCATTTATTCGAGCATTCAACCTTATATCAATATTTACGAACTGACTAAGATTAAGATGCATACCAGATCACTAAAATACAGCAACCTAATTCTCATTCATAAGAAAGGTAGCAATGGAGATATCAAAGTCTATCACCAATCATATAAAAGATATTCACAAAGAGCCATTAACAATAGACTAACAAATGCGTTAGATGCTGCACAACCAACAGAGCAAGCTGGCTTCAGAAATGGATTCAGTACCCTGGATCATATCCATGCGCTTCGAGAAATAATGAGCAAAACTAAAGAATATGAAATATCGCTAGCATTAACCATCATATATTTCGAGAAGGTTTTCGATTCTATATATCTCAAGGCACTAATAGGAGCTTTGACCAACCAAGGAGCTGACAACATAGTAAACTTGGCTTACATAGTAAAGCCAAATAAAAGTTAAGGTAAACATTTATGAAAACACTTCAGAACTTCCCACTACCAGAGGCGTCTGATGACGGGACAAAATATCGCCAAAGCTCTTCACTGCAACTCCAGAAAATATGTTCAACAAAATGAACTGGCAGAACACAGGAATACTTGGAAGAATACAGGAAAAATTGATGGAGAATACTTGGTATCTAATATTTACAGATGATATCGTTCCGATTGCTAATAATGCTACAGAGCTACAAGAATTAATAAGCGACCTTAACTCAGCTAGGAATGAGTTGACTAAAACTTGGTGTTTGAACTAAAATTAACTTGACAAAAACAAAAACCATGCACAAAGAGCTAGTAAATATCCAAGATATAATAATAAACAACCGTGCGCTTAAGACAGTAGACAAGTATGTATATCTGGGACAATTAATTAATATATAAATCTGGTTCCTCACTTCCAGAAATCAACAAAAGAATGAAACTGACTTGGCCTTCTTTTGGTAAAAGTGTCGTTATATTTAAATCCAGGATGCCACTTCACCTGAAGAAAAAAGCATTCTATCAGTGTATACTACCAATCATGACATACGGCTGCGAAATTTAGACACTAAAGAAAGAGATGATGGGGAAACTCATCACTCAACGGTCACTGAAGTGATACATGCTAGGTTTAATAAAGAGAGATCGAAAATTAATAGAATGGATTAGACAGAAAACCAAGGTCACTGATGAAGTCAATAAAATTAAATCTTTAAAATTGAAGTGGCAGTTCCTAGAAGAAATGACAATACATGGTCTATTAGAATTACATTGTGGTATCCAAGAGGCGTCAACATCAAAAAGACGTAAAAATTTAAGATGAAACTATGAAATAAGGAAACAAGCCGGTACACCATGGCTCAGAAAAGCGAATATTAAACAATCGTGAGTAGAAATAAAGAACGACTACATATTGGAGGTTGCACTATATGGAGGATTACAAGATGGTGGTATTCTTGACTGTTGATTTAAATATCACGTGGTGATTCTTGAGGCTGCAGTCAGTCTATTGGGCCCACAAAACAAAGAAAACTCTTAGACTTACTGTCAAGCTTTAGAATTTAATTTAATTCTTTTTCAAGACATCTGTTAACAAAGAAATATAAAAAGTAACCAGTTATAATTGTTAATTGTCTTACTTACTAGTCGTGAGATTACAGTTAATATTGTACTTTATAAAACAAACCATTACACATATATTAAAAAACTATATTGTCACTATATATGTCATTGTCATGTTGGTTTGATGAATGGACATATATGAATGTTTATTTTACGTGAAAAGCAAACCAAGTAACTATAGTTTTTATTATTATTAATTTAATTGTCGATAAAAAATAAATTAATCCAGTCAGTTTGGCTGAAACATGAGATTATGATGGTAGTTATTGATATGTTAATATGTAACAATAAATGTTACTTAA